ATTCTCATGCCAGGAATGCCCTACAGACGTAACGTCGACGTGGTTGATATGTTGACAACCCACTTCTATGGCTTGCGAGTCACCTCTCGATTGACCTAAAGGATACTGCCCAAGTTCTTAAATCACACGCCCACTGCCAAACGGCCATGCAGGAACTTCCGGAAGACTTCAAATTCGAAACACGGTGCCTAAACTTTGGGGGATGTGCATACATTGCAAGTCGCTGCTTCCAAGCTCATGTTATTTGAAGCCACGACGTTTGGTCATTTTCCTGATTCGAAGATGCACGGCTGATATGTTTCCTTTCCCATTATCCCTCTCTTGCTGACCGAATCCTCTATCAGATTTTGTTTCTTGCTTCCTCGAACTCTTGTGCCAGGCGAGGTTCCTCCTGACACCCTATCCTATGGACCGTATCTCGCATGTCCTCAGCTTCACCCGTATGTAGAATGATACTACGCATTACTCAGATGCTGTGTCTTCCCAACTTTAGCATTGCCAACAAGGTCGACAATTGGGGACGTCTTCAGAATTGGGTAAGCATAGGTACGTGTGAACCTTCTACTCAGTCGCTCCACTTCGGCTGATAAATAACCAGACTGGAAGCCTTTTGATTCTCGACCCATCTGCGGATTGTCCATCTTCCTTGCTCCTTAGCCAGTTCAACGGCCTTCTACCAGTTTGTCCAATCTGCAACTGAAGCCAATCATCACCACACTTCCGTCCTTGCAGTTTACACCCTACATGTCGCTCCACTTTCCCACCGTTCTTACTTCTCACATGGATGCTACAACGCATGCGACCGTGTTCGTGAGTCCCCGATGTCTATCCGTGCATGTTTTCTCCGCATTATCAGTTTTCTGTCTTCACCTTCACAAGTTCACCGTCGTCATCGATTATCCTTACCTACACCTCATGTTTCTGCCGCATAGCAGGGCGGAAGTTCGAACACATGGGAAGAAGCTTGAAGCTCAAGAAATTTCGACGTAGCGCTGAACATCGCAGACCAACTGTTCTTGTAACCCACACAGCCCCTCCACCAGTAACGCCATCCCAATATCATGCATCACTATGAAGGCATTGACGTGGGAGCTGTGGATAGTAGGCAATTTGTCATGGAGGTTAATGCACGGGTTACTGCTGGTAGGGCTACGTTCGCTCCTGCCTTCTCAACGGCTTAGAGTTAGGGTTCATCCCCGAGCTGCGCAAGGATGGCTCTCATGAAGCTTAGTGCAAAAATATGACCGGCACCACGAAGAGCTTTCAGCAACCGCATAATTCACTTGAACCCAATGCGCGGGAGCTTGTAGCCCGGCGATCTGACGGTGGAAGGGTAAGCGTTTTCGGCCGATCCTTCACACAGCTGTACACTCACCTCGTCAACGTCACCACCTCCGTCACAAAGTACCTCAGCCGCTGTATCGTCTTCTCGATCAATGCATCAATATCCACTAGTTGATTACGCATTGCCAATCCACGGCGCTCCGGCTTGGCGATATTATGGTGCAGAAGAGACTTACAAACGCATTTTATGTCCAGAGCACAAGAGGTTCACGATTTGATCTTCTACCTCTGGGACCGAGCGCTCAATGCCGCGGAAGAGAGGCCAGTGGAGATGAAGTTTGGACTGTATCAAGGCTGTATGACCAGTAACAACGTACACTTCGTGAGTTTTGCTACCTCTGCATGAATGAGGCCATGCTTGTGGGGCAATCTCATCCGGTACCCGTGGTCGCAGGCTCAGATTCGCACCACCCTTCAACTCGCAGGCTTCAGCGCCTGCCAGGCGCACTTGCGAGTATCGACTCCTCGCTGTGCAGTGTTACTGGTTCCATTAAACTTGTGTTGACTTCAGATATCAATGTTCCGGGAATCAGACTATGATGTCGCCGAACAGTGTATATGGAGAACGAATCACTGCGCGATACAATCAACAGCCGACTATATATGGTGGATGTTTCCGATGTCGATGACGATATCATCGCCTTGGATAAAGAATTGATGCATTCCAGTTACAATTCGAAAGCCTTCATGCGACGACGGATATTACGAGATGTAAGATGGGAATCTTAACTTCCTGTCGATCCTTTCGTTAGGAAAAAGCGGACCGATGTAGAGACCTGCTATCTCCTGTCCGTCTTCTACCTCCCGATATTCTCATAACCATTTTCTGCATCGTTGTAAGTCACCGGCCCAACTTCGAAAACAGCTATCTGTAGTGTGTGCTCTCTGGCACCACGCTGCCCTTTCCTACCCACCTTGCCTCACCTCACAATCCATCGAATTCCACACCATCAAGCAGGGAGGGAATTAAACCTCTCACTAACCCTTCACGACCTCGAGTATCATGGTTTGACAACGGTCCTTACGCTAAGCAGCGCCCGTGCCCCTCCACAGTTGACCCCTCCGCCTCCACCATGTCAAAATTCCAAGAGTTTGAGAAGCGTCCCTCATATTCCTTTCCACAGCTTAAGGGTATATTGTAGTGATCCATATGGTGATATCGACGTCTTGGACTTGGTGACAGATTCACTACAACCGTGGACGCGAATTCTTGAGAGTATTGTCTATTAAACTCCTATAATCTCAGTTCTGAATTTCTTTCTTGTCGAATGTCGAGACACAATATACCGTTATTGAAGACGCAGATACAGGTCACATTAATATCATATGTATCTATTTAGTATTCAGTGGGGTAATCATTGTCCCATTGATATCGGACTATGACGTTCAATTAAACACTCAATTCTGGCACTCACGAGACGCAATCCTGCTACGATCAGATGCTACTGTCAACTATTTAGATACATTAAACATGCTTTTCATCAGAGTGCAGACGCTGGAGACACAGCGAGTAGCCTGGGTGGCTTATGCTAGTGAATCATGTTCAGGGACGACGATATTTACATGTTGCCTGTTTCCCATCAGTTATTGTCGAAGCTTGACAGTGACTAACATACTATGGTTCTAATTTTGAAGTCGGTAGATAAACGTAGCAATTCACTCATGATTGTATATATCCTAATAATAACATGGATGATCAGTTGCACATAACTACCAGAGAGTTTGGGTCTTTGTCCCCATCATCCCCTCCTAATAAGACCATACCGATGTCATACCAGGCATTCATTGACAACGCAGGGCTTACATTAGAAGATAGTGACTTCAGCATCGACAAGAGTCCACAATATTTTGGAGGGTCGGCAATCATTAAACCACTCAATTTCATTATGAGCTTCAACGGCAAGTCAATGTCATTCATATTGAGATCTCCTAGAATTTGAGATTTTCACTATTGACAGGAAGTGTGCTCTCATTATACGGTCGTCTCGCAACCATAGAGAGTTTCATGGCCTCTATCGACGGAGGGGACCCCAACCGTATCGACCCAATTGTTGATCGTGCAAATACAACACTTAACCTCATTTACACCTCTCCAGAAGTTCATGACACGTTCCACAACATTGGCTTCGTTGAAAATTCATATGCCTACATCGACTTTGCGACGGTAGCAACAAGAGATAGCACATTCACATCTGGTATGACCTTGATTGTCGATGACAACGATCCATCCATCATTTATTCTGGTGTATGGATGAGAAATATGAGCTCCATCCAGAGTAGTAGTGGGCTTTCCCGGATTCCTTTTGGAGGATCGACTTCGCAATCCTACTCTTCGTCCACGGCAACATTCACATTCTCAGGCAAGTAATTATGGAATCATAGTATGCCGGCTCTGCTTACCCTCCGCTTACTCTTCATTGACAGGCACCTCAGTAACTGTTTTTGGTGCACAGCCCAACTCGAAAAAGCGTGCCCAGTTCAATCTCGATGGAAAAATATTCAATTCCGATTTCGCAAACACTGTCATCCCATCTACGCACTTTGAACTCTTCAGCGCCAGTGCGCTCTCCGACGGCAAGCACATACTTACAATGACTTTCTCTGATGATAGCGACAGCGTGTACCTGGATTATATATTGTACACCTCATCTGAAGAGCACTCTCAGCCCCCTCCCCAGCAGGGGACCCAAGGAATCAATACATCCCCTGTGACGAACACTGTTGCTACTCCATCCCAGACAAGTTCTGGTCCCGGAGAACAATCAATGGCAAAGGGTACATTATCACACGGGCCAATTATTGGAATTACCATCGGAGCTGTTGCAGCTTTCTTTGCGTTTCTTCTGGCGTTCTCTCGCATGCGACGGAGAACGTTTTCTCGACGCAAACCGACGAATGAACGTGGTGCGTATCTTACTGTGAAATTGCATTATATGAGTTGCTCACGTACTTGCAGTTGAACAATTCCCCGCTCCCACAAATGTAGATATGTCCATGGTCGTGGGCGCAGCACAAGGAATGGAATGATGTGGCTCACGAGCGCCACGTCTTTCCATCCCAGCCCATAGCCCTTCAACGTGAACACAATACTCAGATGCAACGAGTTATGGCACTGTTCAGTCGTAATGTGGACCCTCGCAGCATGTCTTTCCATGCCTTCCAAGTCATTTTTACTGACAATTGCCGTAGTTGAACCATTCCCTGTCACATCGTACCGAGTTCCAAATGACCTTGCTCGTGGTGTACTCCAAAAACCATTACCACCTGAGCACATCCCAGTAAATCACTTGATACATGAACGACAGCGCAGATACGACAGAGACGAGATGCAGAGCATAGAGACTACCACAGTGGTTGGTTCGCCAGATGGTGAACAGGGAGTCAGCAGCCAGGTCAATCATCTTTGATTGTCAAGGGGTTTCAGAGTTGACGAAATAGACGTTGGTAAAAGTTGACGGTGATTCAGCACTGGATAAGTAGCCTAGATAAGGATCGATGTTCTATTCGCATTGCCATGAACATGATACGGGGCGATGCAGAGCAATCGAAAAGGAACGGTTCTAAGTGATGCCTTCAGCTTCGGGGGTGAGGGGAACTGTCCTTTCAACCTTGCGAGAAAATAGAAGTAAAATCAAAACACCAACATTGACATTTATTGGACACACCCGGATTTGAACCGGGGACCACCCGCAAGATGCTGAATGAGAGATATGTGCAAAGCGGGTGTGATAACCAACTACACCATGTGCCCAGTTATCATCATCCGCGGAAGAGGCGCTGCCGATTTCCTGAATCATGGGAAGATTGGGAAGATGTCAGGATCTATTCTCCTCTTCATTTTCCGCTTTATCAGAATGAACGAAGCGAGCAGCAGAGGGACCAGAAAAACCGACACCCCAACGACTTCGCCAGCGATGGGCCATGATGCTTTGCCGCTTCATTGACCGGGCTCGTTGAAGTCAAAATTGCAGTCATTCGAGAGCTTCGGCCTTGTAAATCGTAAATCGGCGTTGTGGTAGCCGCGAGATTCACAAGTGAAGGATTCGACCTTGAAATAGAGAGCGGTGCTTTGTATCGATAGCTACCCCCGTAATGCTACCGGCGCATGCTATGATTGCAACAGGAGTTGGTGCGGCGGATGAATCTTGCAAGTTGATGATGCATGCGCAAAGTCTCGACACGATCTACTGGAGGCCATGGAAAGAGACACGGCGGTGACAATTTATAATCCAGACATATCGTTCAATTGTGCCTGATGAGCCGCGTAAAACCACCAACACAGCGAAGATAATTCTTGACCCCGTTATTAAGCGCCTGACGTCAGTGCTGGTAGCTAGGATAGCCAGAGTCGGAGAGTCGCATTGGCTGATAGCAGGCCACAATGAAAGAAACAGTTTGACCTTCAACATGGTTACGGATCTTCCAGAAAAGGACTTGGGATATGTTCCGTCATTTCTGCATGAACGACGGCGGTCTTTGGATGGAGCCCGACCTCCTCTCAATTGCCTTCTTATGTGGTCGTAGTGAGCGTCGAAGTATGCCGTTCCTATTCAGATATGACCTGACACGTTCCACCTAAGGAGAAAGTTGAACGAGCCATTTAAACACACGCTTACATGTATACAAAGTTGAACGGTTGTCGTTGATAGGGTGAGCGATAAAGGCGAATAGGTTTTCCGTCGTCGAGAAGAAAAGTTCTGTGAACCGAACCTCAAATAGACTGGGGTATCACGCTGACCATTTTGCACGCCGTATCTTTCGTTTATGAATAACGATACATCGAGAAGCTTGAGTAAGAAGGTACTACTCGGAGACCCTGGCGTGAGATGTAACTCTGGTTGTGGAGACATTTGACTTCTTAAAAGTCGATTCGCTAGGTAACATAAAATCGTTCCCACCTTCACATAAACATCAAAAAGTCCTCTGAGTTGTTTTTTGGTGGCGCGCTCAAGACAACGACCTTTCCGTCGTTCAAGGAAAGGAACAGCTAATATCGTGACGACTTGAGTATCACTTGAACGGTGAAAAAGCAACATCAGAAGGACACGAAGAATAGTTTATAGTTTTATTCAATGAAATATACCGATGCACCGCAAGCGCATAAACAAAAAGCTTCGTGAAGACTGGTGGTCGTCTGAAAATCGAATACTGGGTTTGGGACATGGCGCTGTGTTTAGTTACTGGCACAGTGAAGAAAATGGCGTTAGGCCTCTTCCAAGTCTTTCTTCGGAGGCTCGAGTGTAGAATAATTACATCCTGGCCCATCGATGGTCAAGGAATTCGAGGATCGTCTACATCCATGCTTTAGTTATCGCCTGGATTGAATCGAGCGTTTCTGCGCCGGAGGAGCTTTGGAAAATCTAATTAACGTCCGTGATTCCCATCGACTCTCGAAGGTCAGGACATGGAACATGAACCGAGGACGTAAACCATCGTTAAATCGTCTGATTAGCGCTGGCTCATAGCTTCAAGCTCTGTGCATCGTCGCGAAGCCTTGTTGTGTGCGTCATCAAGCTGGAAACTCGGGTTTTGAATCGGTTCTGAGGGTCACCTCCGGTCGTCTTATCCGGGGGAAGGCGTTCCTTTAGTGTTGAGTGTTGATCGCGGCAAGCAAGGAGTCAAATTCGTGACAACTGACCCATCGATCAATTCGAAGTTGCGACGAAGACTCATCTGAGACCGTGCGCACCTGTGTACGAAGCGCTATGACACTTGGACCGTCGAACAATCTGAAATTCATTTGTTCATCACTGCATCTTTATCTAGGCGTTCACTAGTCCGCGTATCTACCTAATACCGTGGTATTTCGAGGCCGTCATAAGGTCGACAGATTGCAGCGTCGCCGAAACTTCTTCTTTCTTTGAGATCGCGAAATTCAATCCGGGAATAAGCAATTGATCAATGTAATAGTTGAAACGTGGTTACCCGTGTACGAATCAGAACGAAGGGCCCGGATCGAGTCGCGCACTGATCATGTATTCACATTAAAACGAATATATCTCTGATGGTCACTACATCGTCATCCAGCCGCGCAGAGATATCATTTAAAGTTGGACAGTTGACTGCTGCGAACTGGCATTCTGAATTACCTTCTGAGGTCGGATTCGTCGAGATCGTCGAAATATCAGGCAGGCTGAGGAATGTTTCTGTTCCGGACCGAGTGTGGAGCGGGATGCTCAGTTCGCGATGCTGGATGCGGCATGAATGATTCAGGTGTGTTGATGAGAGATGAATACGGTGGATACCACAGACATCGAATGCGTCAGGAAGCCATATGGTGACGTTTCGACAGGCGGTCAAAGTCCAAGTTGTTGCCAGAGTCATTCTGCACGAGGTGTTTTTCGCAATTCGTGTTTGCGTTCACAGATGCAGGTAGAACAGGCGTTCATACAGCAAGGACATAAGCAGAGCGCATCGCAGCCGGTGAAACGACGGTTAGACAAGATCACTGCTGTCCCAAAGCAGACAAAGGAAACTGATGAGAGATGTCCGGAGTGATGGCAACGCAAAAGCACCATCAAAATATGCAAAAATAGGGCAGCCACGAGGCTCTCACGGTTTCTTCTCTCATCGCCCACTCTCGTTTCTCGTTGTTGCCACTTTCTGACGGCGGCCTAGCACGACTGCTCGCCCTCGAGCACGACATTCCTTTTCTCGCCTCTCTTTTCTAAAACGCCTACGAAATGGGCTTTGCGACCTTGCACGCCCACAAGGCCAAATCATCGAAACATCTCGTCCCCCGCGCAGACTTCACGCCTTCTGCTGCATGTCTCGCCGGTGCCCTGTACACTTCTCCCACTGCCTCTGCCTCTGTCGACTCTCTCCAGCCTCTCACCATCCAGTGGGACCCCTCATGCCTCTCGCCGGACACCGCCAAGGTCGACATCCATCTGATTGCGCCGTGGTACGAAGGCGAGTCCACCGAGATCTACTCCTGGCTCGGCATCGAGAACAAGGCGGGCGACGGAGGCAAGGCGCAGAAACAGGTGACGCTGATGCCTAAGTGGTGGAATGCGACGGCGGAGGTGAGGGTGCAGCTTGCGATCGTCGAGACGGGGATGCTGCCTGGCATGACCAGCCTACCTGCAGGCCCTGTGTGGAAGGCGACGTACACGGCCCCTGCTGATGGCTCTGTCCCCGCCAGTGCCCAGACCGACTCGTCGACGT